ATATCTATTTACAAAGCAGCTAAAGATTTTTCAATCCCAAAAGCGAGCTTGATAAGATATAAAAAAAGTTCCAACAATCAGGTCTTGAAAAATTTACTCATGTTACAATGTCAGAGATCAAAACTGTGTTTACTCTACAAGAGGAGGAGCTTTTGGTCAGTTATATTTTAAAAGCCGCAGATTTACAATATGGTTTGACATTAGAAGACGTGCGTGTACTAGCTTACCAGTTTGCTAAAACAAACAAAATACAGCATGACAGTACATGGGACACAAATAAAATGGCACGCGAAAACTGGCTCAGGAGTTTTCGTAAAAGGCATGAAAAAGACCTAAGACTGAGAAAACCTGAGGCAACAAGTCTAGCCAGATCTACGGCGTTCAACAAAACAAATGTAGCTTTAACTTTTAGCAACTACAAAAAAGCATTGGAAAAGAATACAGGAATTTCTGCCTTCAATATCTGGAATGCTGATGAGACGGGAGTTAGCACGGTTCACGTGCCACCAAAGATCCTTGCGAAAAAGGTAGGAAGCAAGTTGGCTGCATGACAAATGCTGAAAGAGGAACAAACATTACAGTAATTGCTGCTATCAATGCTGGAGGTGGATTTATACCACCTATGTTGGTATTTCCACGAAAGAACTTCAAGGATTATATGCTAAAGTGAGCTCCTGTAGGCGCCATAGGCGGAGCCAGTCCCTCAGGCTGGTCTAACGAAGAGCTGTTTTTTCAATTTATGGAACATTTCATAAAATACAGCAAATCGAGCAAAGAAAATAAAACTATCCTACTACTTGACAACCATGAGAGTCATATTTCAGTGCAGACCATCCAAAAAGCCAAAGATAACGGTGTTACTTTGGTAACATTCCATCCTCACACGAGTCACAGGATGCAGCCATTAGACTTGACAGTGTTTGGAAGTTTCAAGACCTTCTATAACACAGCCATGCATGAGTGGATGCTAAGACCAGACAATGCTGGTAAGCCGGCAACTATATATGATGTTGCGGAGCTGGTTGGCAAAGCTTTCTCGTTGAGTTTCACTCCTGCGAACATTCTCAACGGATTCAAAGCTAGTGGTTTACAACCTCTCAACGAAAATATCTTCCCTGAACATGAATTCTTGCCATCTTCTGTTACGGACAGACCCATGACCCAGCTAGATGATGCCAATCAAGATGAAAATGAGAATGAGGTAGATGAAGGTCTTCCTGGAATTGCAACATCTTCTAATCCTGAATTGATTTCTCTATCAAGCCACATTGAATTGGATATCTGCAGTCCTGAACGTTCTACCGGTACTAGCCTTCCAAACCGCATAACATTCTCTCCAGAAGACATAAGACCATACCCTAAAGCTAAACCAAGAAAAGAAACAAGGAAGGGTCGCCCCAAGAAAAAGTCATGCATTCTTACTGACACACCAACAAAAAATCAAATTGAAGCTGAAAAAGCCGCATGCATAGCTAAGAAGCAGATCAAGAAAGAAAGGAAGTCAATCAAGAATACAGCAAAACCTAAGAAGAAGCTTAAATTCAAGAAACTATATGATTCGGATTCCGAAGATCTTGATGAACCATTATATGATGAATCAGGTTTATCAGAGGAAGATTTCGGGGAATTGGAGGACCCTGACGTTGAAAACATCATCTCTGGAGCTTATGTGTTAGTGAAAATAGCCGGGAAGACCATGGTGAAACATTTTGCAGCAGAAGTCCTAGAAGTCTGTGACACGTATCTGAAGATTCAGTATTTAAAGAGGGATGGGAATAGCCAGAAGTTTATGAGAGATGATTTAACAGTTTATGACATTGACAAAAGTGATGTTTTGTTCAAACTACCGCATCCAATTGTATCAGGAGGCTCCGCTCGGCAACTGGAAAAATTTACATTTGGCGTCAATTTGGACATTTACAATGTTGAGTAGATTCATCATTATGCCTAACTAAGTGCTCACTTCATATTGGTTATTCAGGTTAACAATGTATGTTATTATAAAGCCAGCCTTATGTTAAAGTAAACAATTTATCTTTAAAAACTGTGTTTTAAAACCCTAGGTTCAAGGTACAACACCCATAGGTCCAAGGTACAACACCCATGTTGTACCTTGGACCTATTGTAAGGTTTTGAAAAATGTGTTTTTTATGTTGGAAATATCAGTATAAATTGATTGAAACAATGAGTAATTATACATTATAAAGCAAAATGATGATTGGGTTTACTTTGGTTTAGTTTTAATAGATCTGAGACATTTGAAAAATAAAAAACTAAAAATAGGTCCAAGGTATAACACCTTCCCCTACCCATTCTTTACATTATACCATAGACAAAAAGAATTAAATAGGCTATAGACGTCAGCTGTGCTGCGGTTACCATAGGTTCTGGCGCACACCGCTTGGAGCACCACGGTAGTTACGGCGTACGCGCTACGTAAACTACAGCGGTGTGCGCCGGAACCTATGGTAACCATGGCAACCGCAGCACCATAAGTCATAAGTCTTTATTACCATTAAATACAATAAGTACAATAGGCTCGTCATTTAAATAAATAAAACATGCAAAATCAAATCTATCAACAAACAATTCAAATAAATAAGCTCAAGTCAAAAAAACAAAACAAGAAAACATGCACAAACCATGCAGGTGTACCTGAAAATGACTCAACCGGTTACCACCAGATTGCTCTTGTCGCAGTTGAAAAATTCAGATACATGGTAAAAAGGATTTAGTGTGAGCCAATTTTTTACAAAAGTGGAGAATTTTTTTGTGTTTAAATTTCTTGTACATTGGGGCAATTTGTTGAAAAGTTTAATGCCTGAAACAGGAAAAGAACACATTGATTTTTGAAGCCTATTTCTAGGTACAAAGATATCAAACTTATTCCTAGTATCATAACTATGTACATCGCTATTTACATGAAGAGAGTCTTGTCTGGCTTTTATTGCCACAAGACACTGAAAAATGTACTCATTTACAATTGTCAAAATTTCATTTTCAACAAACAAAGGTCTGCAATGGTCAAGGTACCCAGCATTTGAAATTACTCTAACAGCTCTCTTTTGGATTAATAGAATTCTCTGAGTACCAGTGGCATGGCCCCACAGCCTGGTTCCGTAGGCTAAAATAGACTGAAAGAAAGCATGGTAGGCCTGCCTAACTGTAGGCCTTGGAAGCTCAGACATTAGCTTTCTAAGCAGGAACAACACTCTGCTCAGTCTCTTACACAGGACATCTATGTGACCTTCCCAAGACAGCTTGGGATCCAGTACAAAACCTAACAGTTTTACAGACAAACTTTCAGGTACATTAGGCAAAAGGCTGAAAGTTATTTCCTGGGTTTTCAAATCATTAACCCTTTCAGTGCTATGCAACGATATATCGTTGTTTTAAAAAATCTCTAAGGGATATAGATTAAGATTGTATACAATACAATCTAAGGGATATAGAGAGGAAGGTTATTTTAACAAAAAATAGCAAAACGGCCATTGGTGACCTGCATGTTCATAGGATACACTATCAACCACTTAGCTAAAAGATTCGCCCAATCCGATGATTTCGAGGTGTATGTCTAAACCAAGGATTATGAACACCTCACTATGCCCCAGTGGTTGTAGTATATCGCTACAAACACACAGGTCACCAATTATTTGCCACACAGGACGGGATTCGAACCCGAGCAGACGAATGCCACTGGCCAAGTGACACACGCCCTAGCCTTCTCGGCTATCCGTGCTTGAAGAGTGGGGAGTCAAAACCCGGTATTTAAGCTGTCGCCGACGATTGCGAACAGATGGCGCTGCAGATGGTTGTTCAATGCGTTACTAGGTAGCAGCACCAGTTAGTCACGGACTATTTAGATGCAATCTTTTAGTTTAAACACAACAGTGATCATAAATGTGTTCCTGAGACTTTGCTGCAAAACATTAGTTTCCCTAAAATGGCTATATTACGATAACCTCGTCCAACTAAATCAAGGTTAAATTCAATATTACATTGTAAACTATATGTCTTTTGATTTTATGAGATTTTGGTTTCAAATAATGCTATCAGAACATAAAAATTTATAGGAAAACCAGGAAAATTACAACAAAAACTAAGTTTTATTTAATGTTTACTACAAATAGCGGGATTTATCTTTCTTATATATTTTCTTATTGTGTTATTATTCAAAATTAGCCTAATTAATAAAATAGTGACAACATGACAGTTAAAATTCAACAACAGGTAATGGAATTAAAAGGCAAACAAAAAAGTCTTACAAAATATGAATTATTGGCCTAGCACTGAAAGGGTTAACCCACATAGCACCGAATATTTATTTGATATCAAATAGCTATCAAATTTTTGACATTTGAATATCAAATTGATATTCACGAACATTCGTTTGATATCAAATAAACGTTCAATTTAGGTTCAAACGTCACTCAATTTTACATCAAATAAATATTCAAATTGAATATAAAATAAATATCAAATTTGACATTCATAAATTTATTGGTAAAATATAATAAAGAGAATATGATTGAATTTACATTCACATTTTAAATATGATGGTGATAAATATTGATATAACATTTTTGACATTCGAATATTAAATTAATATTCGCAAACATTCATTTGATATCAAATAAATGGTCAATTTAGGTTCAACCTCACTTAATTTGACATTAAATAAATATTAAATTGAATATCAAATAAATGTCTCATACATTTATTGGTAAAATATGTTTAGAAGAATTAGGTTGCATTTTTTCACATTTCAAATTTCATGGCGATTAAAATAATATCAGTTCAGACTTCTTTACTGTTCTTACCTTGATTTGACTTATTATTCTGAAGTTATAGGTAGTTTGTTAAAGTTCTTGGGTGACCCAAAAATGTAAATATATATATATATTTCTTATTTGACAAAACATTAACAAAAGTATCACAAAACACATTTGTTTAAAACAAAATTGCATTCAAGGAAAACATTTTAAAGAAAAAACTTTGTTTGTATGATAAAATAAGTTTAATTAAAAATTATTTAAACACAAATATAAAAAAGATATGTACAATTTACAAAAAAAAATAATTCTGGTCTTCTTCATCTCCCAAATGGCCTTCTTGAGTTTTCTATTGTTCCTGTAAAAGAGGTTCAACAGAGTTATTTTCTAAGACAGCTATAGATAAAATATAATATGTTAGACAAGGGGTCTCCAACCCTTTTTCCTCGGTGAGCACTTTTTTGTCTAAAAACGCCACCGATTTAGCGACTAACGTTAATTGTTCGCTACTCTATCGAATCACAACATCATCTACTATCGATGCGATTGTAGTTGTCGTTTGTCACAAGGTAAAGGCTTTTTGTGATACGGACGAAATGAGAGCATTCTATTATAAAATTAAAATGTCGTAACCTAACCAAATTAACCAAACTTGCTGATTGTGAAAAAATTGAATTAAGGTTTACTACGGACAAAATGAGAGCATTCTATTATAAAATTAAACTGTCATAAGCTAACCTAACTTGCTGATAATATAAAAAAATATACAAGATAAAAATTGAATTGAAGATTAGATTTAACAAGGTTAGGTTTGCAGACATGGAGAAGGTAAAAAGTTTTTTTGAGCATACGTCAATAGTATAGGATAAAGTAAATAAGTTTGCCAAATTTTATCAAAATCTATGCATAAACAAATAAACTACATAGTTTCCTTTTTTAATAATCTAAAATATAGTTCTGTTCATAAAATAAAATTATAAATGCCTCTAATTCTAACGAAAGATGTGCAATTAAGAAGTAATCACATTCTAAGCTAAATCTTTGACAAAAAGTTCAATGATTTTTTAGTGAGAATAGGCTATAAAATTTGACACTTAAAATGTCAGCTAGTTTAAGATTTCAATTTGTAGTTCTGCCAATTAGGATCAATTAAAAATATATATATTTAAATTAATCTGCCGCTACTTGACTACTACTAATATTCCCCTAGGCCTATTGAGAAAAAATTAGCAAGTGAGAGACATTTACTATGTTCCTATTTAAATACGTTAACCTGCCAACTTGGAGACAGGGTATTGTACACAAATTTTTTTGAATGGGGAAGAGACAGTTAATTGCTCTTAATTATGGTATGAGCCGCGAGGTAAATAAATATCCCATGGCTGAGCCTGCATTCATTGACAAAGTTCTCTTTTTACACCTCAAGGAAATCACGGTCAACAATGAAGGGTGTTGCTGGGATTGCAAAAGACAATCACGGCACCGTCGAGACTGCAGTATAATATGCTCGTGAGTCTTGGCGAGATCACGGGAGATGATCACGATATAGCTGAGACCACCTGACCACACGTGTTTACGCAATCGTGGGAGAATATAATTGGTGTTTGCTATAAAAAATAATAATTTTCAAAAACGTATGCTGGCTTTCTGCTGGCTGGAATAAAACTGCATGAGGGCCGGATGTAGCCCACAGGCTGTAGGTTGGAGACCCCTTCGTTAGGCATTTTTAAGACCTATTTTTTTACTATACCTGTACTTTATAATTAAATTTGTCGATAAGGCATTGAGTTCTTGATAATAAAGAAAAAAGAGATGGATAAAACCGCAGATTAAGTTTTGCTCATTTGCATAGCCTGTCACTGAAAATTCACAACTTGAAAAGAAAACATCACAGTAGTTAGATGTCGGCCTAATCTGTTAATTATAATAAAATTTAAGTTCTATATTAGGTAATTAGATAAGCAATCTTTTCTTTAACCTAAATTATAAATAACACAATAAATTTACCTTGCATCAATCCTAAACTTTGCTGGGCGAAGCCAATTCTTGATTATAGTAGCAACAACATATATTTCCATTACACCATGATCCTAGTGTTCTTGCGTACCGGTTCTGCCTCTGTATAAAAGGGATTAGTATTAGCACTAGAATTTGTATATATTTTAATTTTCCTGATCAACACCCAGGATAGCCTACAACTAGGTACACATATTAAATTGTTAGTGAAATCTATTTTATATTTTGATGGCATTCGCTTCTTTTGAGTAGCCTTGTTAAAGCTAAATCTAAATCTGAAAATTGAAAATTTTGACCTAGGTAGTGGTAAAAGTAATCCTCAGTCACTTGAACGGACAAATATTGGGGTGAGCACTGACTGAAATGAGTGCAACGGTCGGATGTAGTTTGGTGTGTGTATAGGCCTATGTGTGCGTTTAAAAAAATTCAACTAATACAGTTTTCTTTTACACAAGTTAGCACTGCCGGAATATTTATAAAGTGTAAATCAAAGACTTTCTATATAAGTGGGTCACAAAAAAAGAGAAACTCTCTTAACTGTGTGATGAACCTTAGGCTACGTTATTACCCAATAGGTACCTATCATGAATTAGGTTGTGTTTTGGTGGTAGAGCCTAACTTATCTACAGTTCCTAAGAGAACCTGTGATATATTATCGGACGGTATATAGCCTATATCTGATTTGATATTAATATTGCAAAACCAATTCACCAAATCTGCAAATCATAACTCAATTTGATGTTTACATAGTGAAAAAACATAGGGAACGATGTATTGAATCGGATAATTATTGATATATAATGTTATTCATCCGATAATATATCGCAGGTTCTCTGCGGAACTGTACCCGTTATGGCAAAAAAGACATACACAGTCATGGCGAATCAAACAGAAAAATTGAAATAAAAACACCTAAGATTGAAACTTTATTTTAACTTATTTAAATTTTGAGAAAACCTAATTGAAATATATGTATGTCTACCTATTATTAATGTCTGATTGTAAATAAAAAAAAAAAAACTTACGCAAGATAGCTGGCTTCAGATGCAGATTGCAAAAGAAAAATTTATTCCTCCTTCCCAGCCTACAGGCTGCTAGACAGCCACTTTGTCACTCGGGAGATTTGGTACCGTAGGCAAATTATTCACTGCTACCAAATAATAACTTCCACCAAAGCTGCAGAGTTATCAACTGAAACAATGGAGAGAAAACTACTTTTAGTTAAATTCATGCATACCTTTCTCTGGCCTAAATATGTATCAAGATTAGTTAGGCCTAATCATTGGTTAGTAAAGGAAGCAGACAACAACTAAAATACAAAAGACTAAGAGACAATACAGGGGTAGACTTTCGTATCTGTTGTCAAAAACAACCGAATGAAAATATCGATCGTTATAGCCTATGTTCATTCAGTTGTTTTTGACAACAGATACGGAAGTGTACCCCAATTCAGTTTAAAAGGAAAATGGATTTCAAATAGGCTAGGCTATTTCTTTTATAATAGGCCTACCGGTAAATTGTAACCTGGTTGAGGTAGAATATGTTAGGCCTAGGCTAGCCTAAATTAAGTTAACTTATTCTTGATGGTGAATTTACATAAACTTAAGTTAGGGCCTAGTGACTGACGTAAAATATAACCCACATAACTTAGTAATATTTCAAAATTAGCCTAACAAGGTATTACAACACAGTATGGTATTCCATTTGCCTTGTAAACCAGTTAGTTAGTCCTACTTACTAGCCTATATATTGAACACTATTTTCATCCGGAAGTTGCCCTTTGAAGCTAAATAAACTACTGGTTCAGTAAGAACTAAGCAAGCCGCCTAACTTAGTAGCTTACGCCTAGGCCTAATTAGTATGCAGAAAAATACTTCCTCTAAAACAGATTGCCTATTTTGCGGTTTCAGATTTATCTATTTATACTTAAGTTAAGGCATTAGGAATGATAAGTTGGCCAATTTAATTTGTACAGTAGCTTAACTTAGGTCTAGGTAAGGCCAAGGCCTAAAATACGTCTATGTTACTAGGTAGGGCCTATAGTGACTTATACTTACATACTCCAAGGATCAAAACGTGAAAAGATGTTCGGTGTAGGTTATGCCAATACCCAGTCACAAAAATAACAACTCTAAACTAACAGTGACACACACTAAACAAAATATCAGCACACTTAAGTTAACTGATTTGAGGTTATCGGTTATGTATGTCTTGTTCTTGAATCTTGATACTCTTGTTGCTTCCATAGTTTATTTTCATTTTCACTACTTATGTAGCCTACTCAACAAGTTAGTTGTCATAGGTACATTTTACATAAATCGTGTCGTGTACTTTCCCTCAAAATGGGCAATTTGTTGGTTAATAAATAAATAAATCCACACCGTGAGTAAACTGGCCACCACTGGTCGGTGGTCGCGCGACGGATTTTGTAATTTGTTTTGTATTGTTTTGTTTTGTTTGCTGAGTTAGGTTAGAATTAAGTTGGTGTTTTGTCATAGATAAATCATACTGTTTTGTCTTCAGTCTTCCTCTCTTCCTTTCATACGAATGGGCCAAGTCAAGCTCAAACTAGATACTTAACATATTTTTAGAGTTATATTACACTTAAAAAAATTTAAATTTACGTTTGGTTTAATTTACTAGTAAAAATAAAATGATAAGGCCAATCGTTTGACTTTTTTATTAATAAACAAAACTTTTAAAAAAGCTGTGTTTCCTATTCACTCTTCTTGAAATGTGTAGTAAGCCTAGATTCAGAAAAATATCAGATGTTCCAACAACCCCCCCCCCCGCGAAAAGTCAAAATCCATCATCAATTAATTAAAAATTACAGTGTTCAGTGTTCCTTCCTATTATTAATTATTTTGAGATAATTGACCTCCGACCTCCATGTTACAAAGTAGGCTGGGGACTAATTCTTTACTCAAAAAAATTTAAAAAGTTAAATCTAAAAATTTTTTAAACTATTATATTTGGAAATTTTCAAAGAGAAAATCAAATTTTTAACATTAAGAATATTTAGATAATATTCTAAATTTGATGTTATTTGACTTTGATATTTTGAAGATACAATAAATATTCAAAGTTTGACATTGTTTGACTTTGACATTTTAAACATTAAATGAATATCAAATAAATATCAAATTTTTGATTTGACATAGTTTGATATATTGAACGTTTATTTGATATCAAATAAATATTCTGTGCTATGTGGGAAGAGCCAATTTGTTTAAAATGAACCATTGCTGAGCCAAGGCCAAAGAGTCATGCACTGCTGACTGAGCCAGGAACCAGTTTTTATCAGACGAAAATAAAGTTGTGTCGTCTGCAAATAGAATAATGTGACTATTAACATGGTAATGCAAATCATTAATGGCAATCAAAAATAAGAGGGGCAGGGTGTCCACATTCTGGAAAGTCAGGGATAGTCATGGAAAGTCATGGAAACAAATTATGGTCATTGAAAGTCATGGAAATAGGCAAAAAGTCATGGAAAGTCATGGAAATCCCCAATGATGGATGGATTTCAGGGGACCTTTCAATGCTCTAGTCGGCCGTAACCGCGACTATTGTAGCATTTTTCCGAATTTTTCACAAATGTACGACAATTTCAATTTATACAGTTGTCTTAGTTTATGGGTTTTGAGTTTGTATTAGTTCATTGTTGTACCTATTGTACTCCATTGTTATCTGTTAATACATATTTCAATATTTTCTGTGAAATAACTTGACTAGGCAGTATTATTCGTGTGTGTACGGTATATTATAATTTTTGAGTTAAGTTCGTGAGTCATGGAAATCAATGGTTAATGGTCATGGATAGTCATGGAAAGTCAGGGAAATTGATGACAAAATTTCTGTGGACACCCTGAGGGGTCCCAAGATAGAGCCTTGGGGAACTCCATGGAGCACATCACCTTTCTCTGAAAAGGCCCCATTCCAACTAACAACTTGTTTCCTATTTGACAGGTAAGAGGAAACCACTTTGAGGGCAACATCTCCTAGACCATAGAATTTGAGTTTTACCAGAAGGGCATTGTGAGGAATGCAGTCAAAAGCACGTGACAAGTCGCAAAGAATTGCATGTGTTGACTTTTTGGACTCAAAAGACTTGATAATTTCACACACCAAGGACTCTACAGCTAATATTGTCGATTTGGCTTTCCTAAAGCCAAACTGTGAGGGAACTAGGAGATTGTTCTCCTCAAAGTAGGAATACATTTGAGAGAACATTACAGATTCCATAACTTTGGCAAAAACAGCCCACGTGTTATTAAAGTACTTTGTGTTATAAGTAGCACGGCTGGTAGTCTGTATATAATTCTTTTTGTCTATGATTATACTTGCTACTCATACACACATATAGTCTCTAACTTAATAAGAATGCTGTAACCTTTTGAAAGAGGCATTTTCTCGCGCTGTTGTAATAGTCAGAATATTAAAACATCGTTTGTTTAATTTAAATAGCGGTTTGTTTGAAGTTATTTAGAGTAACATGGCCATGAGAAACATGCTATTTGAAACTCCAACGACAGGAAAATATATGTTAAGTTTTATAAACGATTAAATTGTAGGCTATTAATTTGTAGCGGCCAAAAACTGTTGTCCCGTTACCTACTTTTAGGAATAAACAATCTGTCCTCTACTTAGTGATGTAAAAATCATTATACAGGTTGTTATGGTCATCTTACTAATATTATAATATTATTATAAAGATCAAAATAACTAGGCCTACAATTTATTCTTTAGTTGGGGTAATTTTGATGAAACAAATAACAATACATTTACAGTCTTCATTTTATGCTAGAATGTTTTACTATAAACAATGTAGGCTATTAAGAACTGCACTAAAGTCCTTTAGACAACCTGCAATATCAGTACCTTCAATACCTTTAATAACTTATATATTGGGTGAAATATCAGTTCGTTATACAAATAGTATTTTATATTATTCCCTGCGATATAAATTCTGATTTTTGTTTTGAGTATTAAAGTTACTGTATCGTGATATGAATATTTAAAGCCATAGATTCTTTTCAAATAGACTTTCACACTGTGCTGTGGTGGTTAAACAAGGTTAGTTCAGTTTGGTTTAGTTTATGTTAATAAAAACCAGATAACACCTAAATAAATAGCCTACAAATTGTTCCAATAGTATCATCATTGGGTTGGGTTAGTGTTGTACAGTTTTCTATCAAAACTGATTGTCAAAAGCGCCAAATTATACCTAGTCGTGTCATTTCATGAGTAACTTAGCTTATAGAAAAAAGCTAAACGTTTTGTTAATGATACCTTGTTTGTTTATAAACTATAGGCCTACCACTTTCAAAAGAACCTACGCAGAACCATGGCTGTCTCGCGCATGTAGGGGTGAAGGGTGATGGTGGGGAAGGGCCTGGAGCAGTGGTGGGGATAAGTCGTTGGGGCGAGGTGTCTTTCCCCACCACTCTGACTCTCCTGCTGTCCTGCATGTCAAATCAAATCAAATCTCTTTATTGCCATTAAGTATATACATTTATACAATAGGCCAAGTCAAATTACATCTCTTAAGGCCTATTTTGCTTGGAGCGACTGTAGCGATAGTCGCACAGCGATTATCACTCAGCTACTATAGCTGACAAGGCGGCCGTTTTGCTTAGAGCGTTTGATTTTCGATCGCACAGCGATTTTTCATAGTTAGTTAAATATCAGCACTCACAATGGTGAAGTCATGAGTGCGAATTGTAATTCATTAAAGGGTCTCCTCGGTGAGGATTTAGGAGACGAGGCTCCACTCGACCCTAGTGGAAGTATCAATGGACGATCGATTGAAAATACATAGTGATACTTAGGACTAGGGACGGATACGTATCACTAGGACATGAATAGAAAACTGTAATGATATCAATGAAAAAATATATTTATATAAATAAAAAAAATAGTGATATCAATAAGAGTACATGAATGTCGGAAAATAAAACCTGGAGTCTAAATAAAAATTGTAAAAAATATTCACAAAAACTGACACAGTATTAACGCCCACACTACGTAAATAACACATAACAACTTGGAACAGTCAAGCATTTTATATTTAATAAATTTGAATAGACGTAAATTATCTTAACAAATTTAAACAAGTCGCCTGTTTCTACTAAAATTTAATTTAGAAAATGAAATTAATGTGTAATGAAATATAACCAAAACAGTAGAATCGTAACAGCACATGAATAGAAAAATTAATGTGAACAATAAAGTAAATTATGGTTAATTTAACCCCTATTATGTGCCTACTGAGTGAATTGCACTGTTTTGAGGTTCTGCGCATCAGTCGCGGCGCGATTATCGCTCAGACTGGTCCCTGGGGCAGTGGTCCGCGACTGTAGCTAGCGACTCTTGCGATAGTCGCTCCAAGCAAAACAGGACAACGCAAACTCCGTCAGAGCAGTGCCCGGCTACTATCGCGGAGCGATTATCGCCACGCGTCTATCACTGCAATCGCTCCAAGCAAAATAGGCCTTTAACCGGGCAATTTTTATCAGCACATCGGTTTAACCGGACTAGGTCGGCAGGAAGTGGGAGGTAAGCGTTACTGAAACGACTGTTCTTGTGTTAAGGATATGAGAACAGTGATTATGCTCTACTACATTTTAGTCAAATACTGTATATACAGTATGCATTTAAACGGTCAGTTTTAATGAGTTTGTGGGACGTCAGTTTAACGAGAAAACCCATTATCCGGACTGACCTCGGCCCCGAGAGTCTGGATAAGAGGGAGTCTATTGTAGGCTACTGTACATTTTACTATGTTATAGTGACACGAATAAAAAAATAAAAGCCAAAACTTCATGCAATAACCCCATAGTACCACATACAATATGTTTACTAGTGTGAACTACGCTGTAGGCTTCACATTGAATGTGTTGCCCATGTTTATTAAATTAACCTAAAACAGAGTTGTTTTGTTACAGAGTCATTGATTGAGGTGCTGGTGAACTGATTGAAGACTTAAAACCCTGATTTGTAAAAACCCACCCCTGACAAAAATATAAAATAGTAAACACAACAGCTTTTTATATACCATTGTTATTATTTATTGGTGTTTTTGTATTGCAATAAGAATAAGAATAAGAAAGTTTATTGCCATTGACCAAGTTGTACATCGTTAAGTTGCATGCGTAGTTGCAGATGCATTGGTCTGTTTAAATGTATAAA